GGTGATGAGTTGAAACAGTGTGGAACGATGGCAGAAAGTTGCAGCTGGTATTCCGCGCCGTACGTATAACGTGGTACGTGGTGGTACGAGCCGATCGGAGATGTTTGAGCTATTGACATTCGTTGGATGCGGTCCAGAGGTACTGGGGTGACCCTGCATCGAGATGAGAACAGTATTCCATATACGGCCGGACTTACACCTTTTAAAGCTAAAGGCGATGGACCGGAGTGAAATACTGCCTCGATCTGTTCAGCACACCGAGCTTCTTCAAGGCCAATTTGACATTTGTCACTTTCCAACTCAAAGCTAAACCGAAACTATAATCCCCACACCAGTGAAGAGTCAATCAATTTATCAGCGTCTCCGTAATTATACCGCAGTTGACACATTTACCTTGTTAAAGCCAAAAGTTAAAAAGGTCTTTATATATAATAGTCACCTTATTCCGTATATATATGTGCTAAAACTACTTAAACTGCAAGTTTCAAAGCGTTCACTGTCGCTTTATTGGAATATGCTAATACAGTAGAGATAAGCCAAGTTGGTCAACTTTCCACCTCATATTGGCTTCTGACATCATTAGAGTTTGACTATCGAACTACTTTATAGGCCACGATTATTTATTGATTATTTATTGTCCGTGTGGACACACGTGAAACACACGGGCCGAATACATATAGATAGATATTTTTAGAGATTTAATTTGGGGTAAGATCCTTTAAGTACCTACATTCTAGATAAATCTTACAACTATATTACCATTTAAACGTATTAAGTAAGTCTACATTAAGATACGTAAATTTAAATACGTAAGATAAGCATTAAAACGGGTTTATATAAATAATGAGATAGTTGCACAGAATTTGCAAATGCTTAAATTAATCGGATTTCACTTAAAATCTAGAGAACTTACAGGATTTTGAGGGTATAAACTTTGTAGCCCCTTCATTTCTCTCTATTTTAGCGCTGATACTAAAAGCTAACATTGTAAATTGTAATTTGAATAATTGCTGTTTTAGACATTTGAAGATATATGTTTTTAGTTATTTTAGTCCGGTAGTCCGTGTGGTGACGGATTAAGAATACAGAGTGTCACCACCCCTATTCATCCCGTGGGTGTCGTAAGAGCCGACTAAGGGAAAAAAACTAAGCAGGACAATAGCACTGCAGAGAGAAGGAAAACTTGACACAAACTCTTTACCAACCCGTCGGGCCAGCGTGGTATAGTAGGCCAAAACCTCGTTTCTCAGGAGAGGCTTATGTCCAGCAGTGGACTATTAAAGGCTGTTGATGATGATGATGTTGATGAGTTATTTTAGACATGTGGAAAATGTTTTATCTAGAATGATAAATGATATTTATTTCTGCAAGTTAAAAAGATGTCAAATATTTTTACAAGTCGGACAGAAAGTGGGGAATATTCTCATTCAAATATGGAACTCCGACCTGTAGAACATTTACTTTCGGTGTTATACCTTCCCGTTAGCACATTTTTTACACTACATAAAGAAAATCTTGCTGAAGCACCACTAAAAACAGAAAGTTGATGAAGCAAGATTGCCGGCATCACTTCTCAAAGGCTGATGATGAGCAAGTGTTTTATATGTTCATCCCGTATACCGTATGTACCGCTCCCGTCAAATATTTGTGTGCATCAACATTTAAAATACAAAAACAAATGTAAATATGTATTTATATCAGTTGTCTAGCAGCCATAGTACAAGCTCTGCTTAGTTTGGGACTAGGTGGCGTTGTGTGTTTCAAGGATACGACCATATTGTACAGATATTTACCGGATTTAATGTAGTAAGTTCTACATATAAAAAAAAATGTTCAACTGCAAGTTTATCGTATGTCAAATGTTGTCGAGAACCTCAAAGATCCGAGAAGAAAAAAGAAGTTTATATTTCCAACTAACCCTAACTCTAATATTCTCCACTAAAATGAAACTTACACAACTAAACCACAAAACTGTTTATGATGTGGATAAAACCGCGAACAAAAGTTAAGTTTCTTTGAAGATATAAAAACTTCGCCAAGCGTAACTTTGAAACAGTTAACTAATCTGGATTTTTTCTCATATTTATCACTATTAAAGTTAAACAATCTGCCATTTACTTTGTAACCTCCTTGGGATGAAATATAACTACGTGATTAACTATATTTATACTTTTAGTGTGAAATTTCAGGCCTTTTGAATACTTAAAGCTACAAGTAATATTTCCCTAAAAACAATGCAACGAAATCGGTTTTCAAAACTGCTTAACTTTTCCTGATCCTAATTGATTGTTGGTCCTGGTATACACGATTTACGGAAGTGGACGTGTGGCAATGATTAGCCCCAAAAGAAAAATAACTCTAGTAATTGAAAAGTGGGCACTACTTGGAAAGAAAATGGTTTTAAATTTCATAATAGAAATGTGTAAGTCTGGACTTAGATTTCAAACACACGAGCTGAACTTTGTTAATGTTACGGGTAACTGCAGCAGTGGATCTGATGGTGGGTAATTTTTGATAAAAAGATCTTATAATGTTTTATTTAAATACTTTATTCTGAACTACACTCAAATTATTTAGTTATTTTAAAATCAAAAATGAATACTACTGTTAAGGAGTCAGAGGCCCACAGCGGTCCAAGAATCTACAGCTCATAATCAAGGAACCAAAGTGTTTGCTCTTCAAGCCGCCTTCGTCCATTAAATCCTGACGGAAACAGAAAAAGTCTTTAGTAAAACATTATGAGGAATTTCAATTGTTCAATCATTCCGGTTGGTGAAGGATTAAGAATACAGTGTGTCACCACTCCTATACATCCCGTGGGTGACGGAAGAGGCGACTAAAGAAGCAAACTACGCAGGTCAACAGAACAGCAGAGAGAAAGAAAACTTGAAACAAACCCTATATCAACCCGTCTGGCCAGCGTGGTATAGTATGCCAAAACCTCCTTTCTATGGAGAGGCCTATGTCCAGCAGTGGACTATTATAGGCTGTTGATGTGATGATGTGATGTGAAATTTGAATGGAAACAATCTGAAAGAATACCCTCCTAAATAAAAGAAGAATTTTTCAAAGTGGTATATAAAAACGTAGTACTATGGCAATAAATATAAAAATATACCAGAATTGAAAACCTGCAATGCATTGGATAAAACTGGGTGTGAAATAGGTTTTTTTCTTATTAAACCGGCAAAAGAACAAACCCACGTGTTCACGTGTTGCAATTTTATGAACTTTTTATTAGCATTACTTCATCATCATCAGCCTATCGCAGTCCACTGCTGGACATAGGCCTCTCCCATTGCACGCCACTTAGATCGATTTTGAGTTTCTCGCATCCAGCTCCTGCCAGCCATATTGCTCAAATCGTCACTCCACCTGGCCTGGGGGCGTCCTACACTACGTTTGCCGAGACGCGGTCTCCACTCAAGAACTTAACATTACTAGCATTACTTACAACTAACTGAATAACATTTACACGATACATGATAAACAAATCTTTCAGGATAATTTTAACGAAATTCTTTATTGTTTGTCCTTAAAACATGCTGAAGAGAAGCAACAAAAAATTCAGGCCTCATTCTCACATATTAGAACGTCAATTGCCACGATTTTGATTTACTTTCTTCTTTCACATTTATCAAACCTTTAATACACGCTTGGCGGTTACGAGTGGTTTCAACAATGCTGTTATTTAGGACTAGATGATCCGCTCCGTTTCCTTTGCGTCTCTCAAAAGGGCTTGGTTAATTTGCTCCATTTGCACAACATTTTTCACTGATCTCTCGGCTCTCGGCTCCTATCTCTTTTTGCCTTATTTCCTGATTCCTTGATAAATGAGCTAGCCAACACTAAAAGATTTTTTTTAATTAGAACCAGTAGTTCCTCAGATCAACGCGTTCAACCAAACAAAGAAACATACCCTTCAGCTTTATAATATTAGGATAGATACCGCAGTACTTCACCTTAAATATCTTATAATGTATTTGAAATAACGTTAAACGTCACGGAAGAGATAGTCGGATGTTTCCACGAAACTTTCCTATACATGTATTCTTATGGATTGGGTCCTTGGGTGGCTTAACAAAACAAAACTATGTTTCGATGATGGAGTACATCCAAACTGCAAGTTAGAACTCAGCTATCTGTGTAAAATATGAATAGTATTTTACTGTATGCTTCATAAACAAAGATGTGGGTTTCCCGAAACATTAACGTTCAATACAAACCAATAAAAATGTAAGTCAATACTAGCAAACTTTACCGCACGAGCGCGTCAGGAAGTCCTCTCTGTAGAAGCCTTGAGGAAGGCCCCAAAAAGCCTATGCCGGATATCTCCTAAATTGTGAGAGGTTTTGAAAAGGTTTTACTTAACAGATAGGGGCATGCACTATTCGCAAAAGAACATTTGGACAGAAATGATAAAAGTTACAAAGTGTTTATTATTATAACGATGTGTGCAATTCTAAATTTAAAATGGTGGATCTAAATGCCAACATTCTTCATCTCATCATCTCAGCCGAAAGACGTCTGCTGCTGGACATACGCCTAGGCTTCCCGCGACCGTTTTCGGATCGCCTGATAGAGGGCCTTGCTCCGTCACATTTCGAGAACTTTTTGGGTCCATCGGCCATCTATTCTGAAAGCAGTGTACCCACCCAGTGCCACCAAAGTTTGCCAATTCTCTGGGCAGTGTCAGTGACCTTAGTTCATCTGCGGATCTCCTAATTCCTAATCCGATCACACAGAGAAACTCCGAGCTTTGCCTTCTCCATTGCTCTTGGTTGGTTGACCAGTCAACCTATACAACTTATGAGGCCTATTGTGAGCGACCACGTCTCTATGCCGTTAGTGTCGCTGGCAAAACACTGGTAAGATACTGCGTTATTTGGGACAAAATAATAACAAATGGGTTAGAAAACAGAGATTGGAGAATAAAAAGTTGAACAAGACAAAAAAGGCATCAAAAATAGTCTGTTGGTGTTTAATGGAAAAACAACTTATTACAATAGCATTTGTAAAGATTTGAACTTGTCTTCTAAAAGAGGTAATCCGCTGTTGTCTAAATTCTTTCTGACAATGTGATGATTGGGCAAGAATTTGGTCTTCGCTAATAGGTCTTCACTAATAGGCACGTAGCCATACTTTTTAAAATCCCTTCTGGTAATTAATCTAGGGGTACTAGAGTACGGTTTTATATCATGGTCACCCTTAAGAATAGTTAATTTAATAGTTTTAAATTTCTTTGCATCTACTGTTTTCTTTTGCGTTTTGCTTTTGGTTTTAGATAATTTTAAGTTACCTTCAATTGGAGCAGCTTTTATATCTTCTGGATTATTGTTTTTTTTAACACCTGATGGAGTCGTAGAGAGTTCTGGCTCATCATTAACTGCAAATGCTATTTCTGGATAAATGCTTGTGATGACAAAAGCAATGTATATAACGTGTAACTTACACATTTTGATTCAGATATCTTATTGCTTTCAGGCGATTTGTGTAGAGAATTGTCTTGATAATTGGAAATTTCACGTGCGTTCACGAATGGTGGTTCGGAACAAATCACTTAAATTAAAAATGCCTCAGTGTGCGCTCAACGGCCGTTAGCAGTGCTCAATAGTATTGAGATATGCATGCCTCTGCTATCGACATGTGAACAGCTTTAGGTATTATTTAATTCGATTCCAGTTTTGTGAAGAATTGAGAAGACTATAACGTGAATAAAAACTGAAAAATGAATTAATGTCTTTGCGATATAGCGTTATCAATGATATTAAAGTTCTCTTGCCACTTTCTGGATATTTCATTACTAATGTATTTAATATTTAACTTTTCAAATGATAATTATGAATGCCTTTTACAATATAACATAATATAACTAACTCTAAATACTCTACCCGTATAAAGTTGGGTACTTTACTTTTAATTACCAGACGTTTTAATCAATAGGTGCATTTTGGTACTGAAGAAACTATAAAAAGATTTAGTCCCGATTAATAAAACTACATGAAATAAACTGGCCTCCATTACTTGCGGTCTAAAAATAATTCTTTATACTGATAAAATAACAAAAAGTAACACTTCCATAATGTGTCTATGAAATTATATAAATATTTCATTACCGCCGTCTGAAGGGTGTCAAAAGATGAACGATGAAGCGTTCAGGGATGATGTATGAACAATACTCCCACACAAAAGTATCTAAGTCAATAAAGTATGTGCGAAACATTGAAACAATAACCTGGCTCGTAAATAACTCTAAAAGCTACTTCAATAAAATATGTATATTTACAAAGAAATGGGCCAAGCTCAGGTGAGGTCACGATATATGTCAGGTTCCGTAGTTTACAACCTATTTTAAAATAGTTATAACTTCACCAGAGAATTTTACTGTCAAGATTTTGTTTCTTGTTATAATAATAATATGATATTCTACCATATTTACACAATGCCATCTAGTCCGAAACTAGGCAGAGCCTGTACTATGGTAACCAGACTGCTGATAAACATACTCATATATTTCTAAATACATACATATTACAGATAAATTACACCCAGACACAGATGATGGAATTCTAAAAAATGTATTTAGCCATGTGTATCTGGCCAGAGTGGTATACTAGGCCAAAACCTAAATTGTAAGGAGAGGCCTATGTCCAGCAGTGGACTGTTAAAGGGTGTTAATGATGATGATCTGTTTTTAGACAGTTTACTACAAATCATGTTACTTAACTTACTAATCTGAGTCTACTAAGTATGCCTTAATTAGATCTCTATAAAAGGTTAAATATATAACTTTTTTGAAACTGTATAAATGAAAACTGTCAAATTCCGGCACAGAGGATTCATCACATTTTTTTTATAAAAATAATAAGTTAACACATCTCACACATGGCTGTCTAATCCCAAACATGGCAGAGCCTGTACTATGGTCACTAGATTGATGATAATGACACTTAAATATTTTTAAATACATACATTGTAGATAAAGGAATATGTACAAACATATTATAGGTAGATAAAATAGGTAGTTTCTGCTGGGAAAACGAATCTTGAAGACAATAGAATGATATTTTAAAAAGACAGAGATAAGTAAGTAAAAATACTTCTCATAAATAGCGCTGTAACTTATTTGATAAATTACTTTACTAATTTTCATCATCATGGTCATCAGCCTATCGCAGTTCACTGCTGGTCATAGGCCTCTCCACTTAGATTTTGTACTTTTACTAATTTTAAAAGTGCGAAACATAACTGGTTTTACAATACATATTTTTTTACGGTTTAAAAATTAACGACTTTCGAAGTTACCCTTAACTGTTCTGTGAGGTGTTGCTTTTCACAACTTTCACGATTTTAGGTCAACAGAACCTTTTAAAATATGTTTTACCTGCGATTTTAATCATTACAATTAAATGGCCGTATCCTTTAATTGCGTTGACTTTGTGAGGACGGCGACGTTGCTTTTGTTAACCATAGCTTTGAGAGACTAGTCTTTTGAGAGACTGGTCTGAATGACTAGTCTCTGGCTCTCTTTGTCAGGTGTTTAATTAATAGGTTCAATACATATTAAGTAAACAACTGATGAAGATAGCCAGACAGACAAACTACCTACTTGGAATTTTTCGTACATAATGGCATCATTAAAAAACCCTGACACATAAAATAACTTAAAAAAATAACTGCTCATTGAGGCTGTTCCAATAAGCCCAAACATGGTATGTGTGTGCTGAAATTTATATGGTGCAATCTGATGCTTACTGTAGTCATTAACCATAACGGACTCCCTACAAATACAAAACAATACAAAATATAATATATAGTATAATATGAGTACATAAGACAATGCAATCTCTTTTCTTAACTTTTTTGATTCATTGATTTAGAAACCTACGATCGCTGTTCCTTGTTATTACTTTGTTTATTTTTATATTATTCTCAATAAGTGGATAGTAAAGTTCTTGAGTGTTAATAAGTTCTTTAAACCTAAATATTGTGACAGAGCAAATAATTGAGATCGGCAAATATTAGAATGTGTGAAATTTTAATTCGTTCACATTCGACGCTGACATTCAACAAAAGGGAAATATGGTATGACGAGACACACCCAATTTCCTGGCAGTTAGATCACTGCACATTTGAATTCCTGGTTAAATTTCCGGATTCGTCAACCGTTTTGGGCACCGAAATACAGTCATTGCTTTTGGAGAGAACACAGACAAAGTTTGATATTTTTTTAAAAGGGACAATAACTTGAACAGTTGAAAAGAATTAACACTATTTTAGTTCTAACTTGCACCAATGGTTTTGTACAAATTTGTAGTATGTAGATTTATAATTTTTAGTTTTTTTTGGAAGTGAAAAACGTAATTTTTTAGTTAAAAAACTTTTACAAATATCGATTCAGCCTATTGCAGTCCACTGCTGGACACAGGCCTCTCCAATATATCGATATACGATACAAAAAAAAACAGGTATAAAACATAGGTATGTAATGCATACCTATGTTTTATACCTGTTTTTTGTGTGTCCAGCAGTGGACTGCGATAGGCTGAATCGATATTTGGCAAGAAGCATATTTTTTTTAAACAACTTAACAATTTTAAGATGTGTCTGTTGACAGAGTTACGTAAAACTGATAGGCCTGTTGTTTGTAAGTATAGGTCACCCCTTACCATCAGTCAAACCAAATAATGATTTATTGTATTACTTTTTCAATTATTTCGTAATAAGTTCAAGGTTACAAAACTCAAACAAAACTTCTAAAAGCATTCAATATTTAAATACTCTTAAATTCACTTCAGTTCACAAACAAAAACTTAAGTCTTCTAAACTCATTTCAAATAAAATATGTATTTTGATGATCCTATTAAATTTGTTACAAAGCTTTACATTTAAAGAGAATTCATTTAGTTTTTATTATTTTACTGTTGAAGTAAAATGTAATGAAGTTAAGTCAGAAAAAAGCTTTAATAGTTATGTTTCTGCAATTTAGTATATGTGAGTGATCTTAAGGGACTTAACGACCTCTTACGACTGTGTTGTTATGTACGGGACTAAACGTGATCAGGTAATAAACACTCCATACCTTTAATTTGTATGGTGGTTTAGTAGTGTTTCTGACTGCAAGTTGAGACTAAGAGGGTCACCGAAGACATAACTGCGTGATGGACATGATCATTTGTTGTGTGTCTGGGTGTATTTCATCTTTAATATGTTTGTATTTATTAATATACAGGATGTAACGGAAACACTCCCGAAGACAGACGATAGCATTAATGTTTATAATGTTTTATTTTATCAAACGTATGATAAAAAGTCAAAAAGAAATCAATACCGATAAAAAAATACCCTTAAACTTGTATGGATCCATTTATCAGTACTTTTAATGTCATAGTTATAAAGGTTTATTTAGTTTAGGATTAAACAGGTGTGTACTAAAAAAAGTAAATAAAATCACTGACCAAACAAACCCACAGTTTTAAAAAATGCCTAACATTACACAGCTATAATGTTGTTTTATCCGGACTATTAGACGGAAAATGAAATTCATTTTTAATGTGGGTAGGCGCATGGCAATTTGTGTGAAAAATATATGTAACCCAGACTTAGGAGTGCTACACCTGTTTTTTGACGTCATCGACGTGCCGCCATGTTGTTTTAGAAGTTATGTAAGCTTCGTCGTTACCGATACGTTTTCTTTTGTTTCGTATATAATATTTTATAGATGACGCTGCAACATTTTTTGAAGTGAAAACATTTTTAAGCGCGTTGATCATTTTTTTGATTTGAACAAGAAACAAAAGACTGTATTTTATGATTGAACAAAAAACAATTTTTGAGATGGTTTTTTTTTTAACTCGCTACACTGTTACCGTTACCGACACACCTCTGTATATAAGTTTTCACTTCTGTCGGCACTCCCGGAGTGAGAGAGTTTTTTTTTGTGGTATAAATAAGTGCAGACGGGTCACCAGATTGTGAGTGACTACCGCTGCCTATGGACACCTGCAACTCAAAGGTCACAGAGTGCAATGTCTTTCTTGTAGCCGCCCTCCTAAAAACAAGAGCAAAGGTCGGTTTAGGCACGGTACTATTATAATACAGTACTCCAACTTCATACAAACGGACGAAACGCGAGCTATACCTACGCGCCTCGATCTCGGGGTGCGCTCGGGGCGCAGACAGTCAAGGCTGTAACGCAGTGTCGAACGGACGGTGTGTTGTTTTTTTAACGATAACCGCGCGATTTTTTCTCTAAAAATCAGTTAATATGACGAGTAGGAAATATTGTGCTGTTTTTGGTTGTATGAATTCGTCAATAACGCATCCAGACATAAGTTTTTTTAAATTACCTGGAAACTCTGAAAGGTAAGACTATAAAATAATTTTACTCACTAGTAGGTAGGTACATAATGTGTGTCTTTTTAATGGATAAATATTTCCTTTTATCTCACGAAAA